CTTCTCCATAATGGGGGCATTGAAGCGTGAATCCTCGGAGGCATGGGGTTAACAGAGCCTTGCAATTCTCAGTGACTCTTCACAAAAAGTATAATATATCCAGAGGATATTGTGCCTTTCAGCTGAGGTTGTTTGGACCTCTTCAGCCCCTGAAGTTTTGGAGAACTGCTAAAGTGGGTGGAGTTTCTTGTTCTTGTTAGTTGTGTTCAGGGACAACAAGGTAGTTGTGCTTCAGGCCTGCTGAGCTTCATTTCCTGACTCACTCTATTGGGGCTGCCTCCGTTTTGGGAACTGAGGACTCTAATCTGGAGAACCGGGTTTGATTCCCCACTCTTCCACATGTAGCAGCAGCTCGGTGACCTTGGGTCAGTCACAGTTCTCTCAGAGCTCTCTCAGCCCCACCTCCCTCACCGGGTTTCTGTATTGGGGACAGGAAGGGAAGGAGATTGTAAGCTGTGCCGAGACTCCAACTGAGGGGCACGGTATAAATCAGTCTCCCAGCACTCATACCTGGTCTTTTTCAGCACAGGGGCTGTTTCAGGCAGAGGCAAAACTTGCTCTTGCCATCTCCACAAAGAACTCAACATCAATCAGCAAGCATGGCTTTTGGAGCCCAGCCTGAGCAGTTTGCCTCTCCTCTCGGTTCCATGGTAGCCTTCGGAACCATTAGTAATTGCTTGGAGCGTCTGTTTTTCAGTATTGATAAACCTGAACCTTTTTTCAATTTGGTCTAGATTGTCTCTGGAGTCATTCTTATGTGACACCATTTGTCACACAAGTATGACAGCCAGTATGGTATACCAGTTAGAGCAGGGGTGGCCCGGGGGCCGGATCAGGCCCCCGGAGGGCTTCTATCAGGCCCGCAGTGGAATTGGCTGTCTTCTGCTTCTTCTTCCAGTTCAGCTGCTGCTGCATCATCATAGGTTTACAGATACACCCCTGAATAGCATACTCAAGACTGCAACAGGGCAGACATTTTGATGCAATCACTCAGAGCAAGAGGTGTCAGTTATCAGGCACTGTTAAATAAACAAAATATTGGAAGAGTGCTAATGTTTCAAGCATGTTTTAAAGTTTAAAAAACCTCTTTGTATTTGTGTCCTTTATAAAGTTTATATCTCCACTGCCTGGCATTACATTTTATGACACACATGGCCCGGCCCAACAAGGTCTCATTTATGTCAGATCCGGCCCTCATAACAAATGAGTTTGACACCCCTAAGTTAGAGCATTCTGCTAGGATCTGGGAGACCCAAGCTCAAATGCCATTCTGCCGGATAACTTGCTTGTGACCTTGGGCCCATTGCATTCTCTCAACCTTATAAAACATCATAAGCCACTTTGAGATCCTGTTGGTGAGTTAGATGGGGAACAGCTAAACTCCATACCCATCATTTTAAAGGGAATCTTATGTTTCTTCTTAAAACAGGGGCCCCATGGGACAAAGTCTTTGACATGCTATGAAAATGTTACCCACCCTCAGGATTCCCTTCATGTTTTTCTTTGCTGAACAGCCCTTTTTCTTTGTTCTCCCCACCTACCAATGAATGGATGCCACAAATCGCAAGTAGGTGGGGGAGCAGTGTGATGCTGTGTTGAAGGATAATCTTTTTGAAGTGGGCATTAGGAAATGTTACCAATTTTGGGGTCTGAACTACCCCCACCTTAAGGGTTTTGCTTCTCAAAATCTATGTTTGGAACAACGTATGTCTGTGAACAGCTCTTTTCTGTAATGAATGTCAATAAATCAAAAGTATGTTCTCAGTTTACAGATACACACCTGAACAGCATACTCAAGATTGCTGCAGCACAGACATTTGTGCCACATTTTGATGCAATGATTCATTGCAAGAGGTGTCAGGTATCAAAGATTATTAAATAAAGGAAATACTCTTAATGTTTTAAGCATGTTTGTATTTTGAGTAAAAAGTAGTATCATTAATTGGGTTTCCGGTGTCCTTTCTGAAGTTTTTATTTCTGGTACCTGGTATTACATTTTATGGCACACATGGCCCGGACCAACAAAGTGACATTTATGTCAGGTCCAACCCTCGTAATAAATGAGTTTGACACTATTATTATTCATACTAGTGCTTGAAATGTTGAATGATATGATTAGAGAAGATACATAAGAATATAAATTGTAAGCTTTTGCAGATAATTTGGTCTTTATTTTAGAAAACCCATTAGATTCTATTACAAAACTTTTAAAAACTACAGGATTATGGCCAGGTGGCTGGGCTAGAAATTAATTTTAATAAAACAAAAATGTTAACGAAAAATATTACTAAGGACCAAATCCAACAGATACAAGAGGTATCTTGTTTTTTGGAAGTCAAAAAAGGTGAAATACTTGGGAATAAACATAACAAACAGATGTAGTTCTTTGAGGGAAGACAATTATATGGAATTTATATTGGAAATTAAGAAAGATTTGGAAAAATGGAAAAACTTACAAATATCTCTGATGGGAAGGATAGTTACAATAAAAATGAATATTTTACCAAGATTGGTCTTTTTATTTCAAACAATTCCAATTTTTCAAAATGAAAAATATTTTATAGAGCTTGATATACTGATAAACCAATTTATATGGCAAAACAAGAGACCAAGAATAAAACTGAATACAAGATGCAAAAGAAAGAGCTGGATTTGCACTATCAGACTGGCTTCTATATTATAGAGCAGCTTAATTGGCATGGTTAAGAGAATGGATTACATTAGAAAATTCTAGAGTATTAGTGCTGGAGGGACATGATTTACTACGGGGGTGGCATGTGTTTATATGATATGGAAAAGCTGATACCCATAAATATTTCAAACAACATTTTATTAGATCTCTACTGAAGATATAGGAAGAAGTGAAAAGACTTTTCTATACTAAGATACCAAAATGGGTCTCACCACTTGAAGCATTTACAAATCCAAACTTATTTCAAAAGAATGCATTGTTAAAATATGAAGATTTGTTTCAAAATGAGCTAAAATCAGTAGAAAATATTAAAAGACTAAAACCTAACCTTAGTTGGTGGGAAATAGCACAAATAGAATCAAGGTATACTAAAGATAAATTTATACGTTTTAACTCAAAAATAACAGAAATAGGTAAGATATTGTTATATACTGAAGACAAACTGATTAAGAAACTATATGTAATAATGTTGGAAAACAAAACACAGGATGAAATAGTTAGATTCCATGGTTAAATGGGCACAAAACTTGAGTCATAATATTGATTTAGACCAATGGTTACAGGTATGGAAAACAGATGTAAAAATTACTAAAGCAACTTCATATAAAGAAAATATTTACAAAATGTTTTAAAAGATGGTATATGACTCCAGATAAACTAGCTATGTTTTATCCAAATTTATCAAATGATTGTTGGAAATGTCAAAAAAGTGTTGGTTCTTTTTTGGACTTGTGATAAAGTTTAAAAGTATTGGTCTTGGGTTCATGAAATGTTACAAAAAATGTTAGAATGTACTATACCTTTTATACCTGAATTGTTTTTGCTGAATATAAAGCCTGAGAACTGTAAAAAACAAGATTTTTACCTTATTATACATGTATTGACTACTGCAAGAATTGTACATGCTAAATATTGGAGGAAAAATGAAGTGCCTTCAAAAGAAGAAATGATAAACAAAATATTTGAAACTGCGAAGATGGATAATCTAACTTTAATTTTGAGAGGACAAGTCGAAGGAAGCTTTGAAAATACATGGTCAAGATTTTACAAATGGTTGGAAGACTACAATAAATAAACATTATGGTCATATAACCGTACTAGAAGAAAATACGAATTATATCTTTAATTATAATGCAAATATTTACACAAAATACATGGTGGTAAAGATAGATAATATACAAGTAGACAATGTATGAGGTAACATATTAGCTATAACAAAGATGTAAATGGAACCCCCCAACTTGTAAGTATTTAAGTCTGTCCATTTTTGTATATTATATTATAATATATTATATTATATTGTATTATAACATTCCTTTATAAAAACCAAAAACCAAATGAGTTCAACACCTCTGACCTAAGCAGTTACATGGTGTGGGTTCTCTGATGCTTTTCAAGCAAGCCACTCCAGCTGAATCTCTTCCCACACTCTGAGCATTCAAGCAGCTTCTCCCCTGTGTGGATTCTGTGGCAGACTTTGGAGTTCAATGCTGGACCTTTAGGTTTTTCTGTGCTATGTAGGTTTTGCTATAAGTGACTTTGGCGTAAAAACTAAAGTCTTGCCCTGTAGATGTACCTTTCCCTGAATTCACATTCCACGGCCTCCCAAGTGCCAGCCTCCAAAGCCTAAACTTCTCTAAGTCTTTTTAACACTGCAATTAATAATATCTATTTGGGCAAAAGTTCATGTTAGCAAAGGTTCATCTTATCAGTTTAGGATGGGCTGGTATTTGGCAAGGGTGTAATATTGTAATTCACTCCTCCCTTGATTTCTGTTGGCTGAAAAGGAGGCTTCCTGTTGGTTTAAAAAGGAGACTTTGGGCGAGGCTGTTTGGCCAACATCCCACCTAAGCTTGAGTGAGGTCTTGGTCCACAGTCCAGGAATTCCTTGTTCTTTCTGAAGTATACACTATATCGGGCAAAGGGAATTTTCTGTATGCTACTGGGTATTGATATTGAATATATACTATTTCTGCTTGTGTGTGGCTTTAGAGTTAATAAATACTTTAAGTTTAAGGCAACTGTCCTCGCTAGGTTTCTTTCCCTCTGGAGGCCTGAATTCCCTCGCCAGACTCCACCCACCCATAGGAAACAAACCTAATAGGGTTGGGGATCCCTGGTAGTGGCCTGGACCCCTCAGATTCCCCTACAGTTCCTCAGATATTCTTGATGAGTGCTACTGCTACTGAATTTCTTCCGACACCCTAAGCATTTAAAAGAATCCCTCCTGTGTGGGTTCTTAGATGCTCTTGAAAATTGCCGCTGTGACTGAATCTCTTCCCACACTCTGGGCATTCAAAAGCTTCTCCCCTGTGTGGGTTCTTAGATGTTCTTGAAGAGTGCCACTGTGACTGAATCTCTTCCCACACTCTGAGCATTCAAAAGGCTTCTCCCCTGTATGGGTTCTAAGATGTTCTAGGAGATGGCCACTGCGACTGAATCTCTTCCCACACTCTAAGCATTCAAAACGCTTCTCCCGTGTGTGGGTTCTTAGATGTTCTTGAAGAGCGCCACTGTGACCGAATCTCTTCCCACACTCTGAGCATTCAAAAGGCTTCTCCCCTGTATGGGTTCTTAGATGTTCTAGGAGATGGCCACTGCGACTGAATCTCTTCCCACACTCTGAACATTCAAAAGGCTTCTCCCCTGTATGGGTTCTTAGATGTTCTAGGAGATGGCCACTGCGACTGAATCTCTTCCCACACTCTGAACATTCAAAAGGCTTCTCCCCTGTATGGGTTCTTAGATGTTCTAGGAGATGGCCACTGCGACTGAATCTCTTCCCACACTCTGAGCATTCGAAAGGCTTCTCCCCTGTGTGGGTTCTTAGATGCTCTTGAAGAGTGTCACTACGACTGAATCGCTTCCCACACTCTGAGCATTCAAAGGGCTTCTCCCCTGTATGGGTTCTTAGATGATTTTGAAGAGTGCCACTGCGACTGAATCTCTTCCCACACTCTGAACATTCAAAAGGCTTCTCCCCTGTGTGGGTTCTTAGATGCTCTTGAAGAGCGCCACTGTGACTCAATCTCTTCCCACACTCTGAGCATTCAAAAGGCTTCTCCCCTGTGTGGGTTCTTAGATGTTCTTGGAGATGGCCACTGCGATTGAATCTCTTCCCACACTCTGAGCATTCAAAAGTCTTCTCCGCTTTGTGAGTTTTTAGATGATTTTGAAAATGGCCACTGCGAATGAATCTCTTCCCACACTCTGAGCATTGAAAAGGTTTCTCCCCTGTGTGGGTTCTTAGATGGGTTTGAAGGTGGCCACTGTAACTGAATCTCTTCCCACATTCTGAGCATTCAAAAGGCTTATCCCCTGTTTGGATTTTGAGATGTTCCTGAAGAGCGCCACTCTGACAGAATCTCTCTCTAAACTCTGACCATTCAAAAGGCTTCTCCCCTGTGTGGGTTCTTAGATGTTCTTGAAGATGGCCCCTGCGACTGAATCTCTTCCCACACTCTGAGCATTCAAAAGCTTTCTCCCCTCTGTGGATTTTTTGGTGAACAAGGAGCTGCGATCTGTATTTGAAGTAGTTTCCACACCAAAAGCATTTACATGCATTCATTATACTGTGCTTTGGAAAATGTATATTACCTTTGCCTCCCATAGAAAATGTCATTCCAGTCTCTGAGCAAATAAATAGCATCCCTCCAGAATGCATCCTTTCATGTCGAACAAGGTTTGATTTTTCTGAGAATCTCTTGCCACAATCTGAGCAGCTATATGGTCTCTCTCCTCTATGTGTTCTTTGAAACCTAAGGAGTTCTCCTCTACGAATCATGGTCTTTCCACGCTCCAGCCAGTGATGGGTCTTCTTTCCACTGTGCATCTGTAAATGGACATTATATTGGGATAGATCTGAAAAGTTAATTCCGCAGTCCAAGCCCTTGTATGTTTCCTTCACTGTGTGAATTCCTTCTTGGAAATCTCCCCCTTGGCAAGGAATGGGTTTACCCCTCTTCTGGATGATGTGGCTTCTTTTCTGCCTCTTAGATCCAACTTGCTTTCTGAAGTTTCCTCTCAAGTCTTCATTCTTGCTTTCATCTGGCGATAGAGGATGCAGTTCCTCATCCTCCTCATTCCTCTCATCATCCCCTGCTGGAATAAAGAAAGAGATCCTATTAGAACCCACGCAAGGAGGTCTGATCTGCACCTGAAGTTCCATCCGCAATCCAAATATTACAGTGGTTTTTTCCCGCCATATGCTGAAGTATACAATAACATACACTTTAAAAGTACATGAAGCCTCCTGTATGAGAGAGGCTTGGTTTAGACTCTAACCCTTTATATGGTTCCCCATCTGTGTGACTTTTATTATCGGAAGTAAAGATTCTTTTGACTGAAGCTCTTTCTGCACTGCAATCAATTACACAGTTTCTCTCTCAAGGAAATTTGTGTCTGCAAAATGATGTTCATATTCTGACTGAAGGTCTTTGCCAAGGCCACATTTTCCGTTTCCCTGGAGTGGATTCTCTGGTTAGGATGGAGGCCTTTGTCCCTTTTCTTTTTGATTAACCTTTCTTTCTGGAATGGGATTTCACGGAAACTCCCTCCTCGGCGAAGAATGGGCTTATCCCTCCTCTTACCTGCTTGGCTTCCCTCCTGCCTCTGTGGTCCATCTCCATCTCCAAAGTGTCCTTCGGCATCTTCATTCTTGACTTTTTCCGAAGAGAACCCCTGGAATTCTCCAGCTGTCTCCTCTACATCTGCTCCTGGAAGAAAGAAAGTCTTTCAATCAGCACCCATGCAAGAAGCCAAGGCAGCAGTCAGGCACTGTAAAGAAAATGCTTTCTTAATTGCAGATGTTTGCTAACCCTTGGTTCAGGCCTTGTACAGGGCCTGTAATAAAACCTTCCTTAGTGACAAACGACTGAATCTTCTCCCCAGAGATAGAGATAACAAGGAGAAGCACTTAGTGACCCTGGAGAATTGCTTACAGCGGTGGCTGATAAGGAAGGTTTTACCATCTTGGTGCTGAGCATTAGGCACATTCCAACCAATTAACCCTGCAACACCTCCCTGTGGGAGGAACGGAGGTTATACTGCAGAATAACTTTCAGGTTCCCCTCCTTGAAAAAGAGCAGTTTCTGTCAGAGCTCTCTCAGCCCCACCTACGTCACAGGCAGTGTTCCCTCTAAGCTGAGTTAGTGTGACCTAGCTCACAGTTTTTTAGCCTCCGGCTCACACATTTTTGTCTGAGCTCAGGAAGGAGGGCTCCAGAGTAAACCAATTTATGTAGAAGCCAAATGGCTCGCTCACAAATTTAATTTCAGTAGCTTACAAAGTGGAATTTTTGCTCACAAGACTCCACAGCTTAGAGGGAACATTGCTCACAGGGTGTCTGTTGTGGGGAGGGGAAGGGAAAGGAGTATGTAAGCCGCTCTGAGACTCCTTTGGGTAGTGCTTGAGTATTATGGATAAGACTATTATGGGTCATCTTGAATATTATGGGTAAGAAAGCTTATTCTGGGATGTTTTCTGCACAGCAACCTGAAAAGCTGACATCACTTTTCTGGCCCTTCACTGGGTAAGGGCCTAACCCGGTGAGAGACCAGTTTCCTATCAGAATAAGCCCTAGGTCAGTTATGGGGTAGGTGGTCTGTGACTGCTGAGCCTAGCATGGTCCAGTAGTGCAGTACCCCAGCTATGGTGTCCCATTCTGTCCGTGCCTGGATGGGCTAAGAAATTACTCTCTTGCATGCTGACCAACTGCAACTCCGTCTTCTGGAGAGGTAATGTTGAATTGCTGCCTTATGTTTCGGTTAGGCTGGAGAAGCTAAGCTTTGTTATTTTTTAAACCTACACAGTCACGTCTCCGAGACTCTTTTTGTAGCAGGAACTCCTTTGCATATTAGGCCACACACCCCTAATGCAGCCAATCCTCCAAGAGCTTACAGAGCTCTTCTTACAGGGGCCTACTGTAAGCTCTTGGAGGATTGGCTACATTAGGGTGTGTGTCGCCTAATATGCAAAGGAGTACCTGCTACAAAAAGAGCCCAGTCAGGACTTAAATAAACAAAAATATATTTTACTTTGATCATTTGTGTGTCATTTGTGTTACCAAGCCTTAACACCTAAATCCTGTTTGCCTAGACCTTTTGACCACTACCACCAGAAAGCTTTTGCTTATTTGTGACTTGTGAACTGCAGCTCCATTCCGCAGACTTGTCTTTTGTTGTATACATTAGAGAACCAGACAGGAGCTTTGGGTCCCCTTTCTCCTGGACTGTTGGGAACTGTTTAAAAAGGGGCCTGGTGGCAGAACTACCTAAAGGTTGTGTTTGGTATTTTGTTTGGTTCCCTTTGGAGAGCAGGAAACTTTGTCCCCTCTTTCCTTTTTTTCCTTTTGGTCATTTTGTTTTGCCCTGCCCAAGTAAAAACTTCTTATTTTTACAGGCACTGCTCAGGAAAAGGTGTGCAGTTCTCTTATCCAGTCATCTTTCCTCCAAAACTGAGAAACTGGTCACATCCAAGGCTTCCTCGAAGCTGTGGAGTCTTCCGAGCAAAAATTCTAATTTGTGAGCTACCGGCATTAAAGTGGTGAGCGAGCCATTTGGCTGCTGCATAAATTAGTTTGCTCTGGAGCCCTCCTTCCCGAGCTTAGTCAAAAAATCTGTGAGCCGGAGGCTAAAAAACTGTGCACTGGCTCACACTTACTCAGCTTAGAGGGAACACTGGTCACACCTGATCCCTGCCAGGCCCTCCCGTAGAGCTGTCTTTATTTTCTGTCTATCCTTCCCCTGCCCAAACTCCCCATATGTATTTTAAGGGGGAAAGTGGCAAGAAATTCTTCCCCCACTGTTCCCATCAGACTTGCCATGCCTTTTGACTTTTGAATCTCTGCACTTGGCGATGAAATATAGGAAATTATCAAGACATCCAGTCTTGCACTTGTACTGAGAGTTTCCTTCCAGTTGTCAACAGAGCCAGGAGGAGCTGCTTTTCAGCCTCCCCAAAATACATGTTTCCGGGGGGGGGGGGGGGGGGAGTAAGCACGAGCTCACCAAGTGAACCCCACAGTTTGGTGTAGTGGTTAAGTGTGTGGACTCTAATCTGGGAGAACCGGGTTTGATTCCCCACTCCTCCACTTGCACCTGCTGATGTGACCTTGGGTCAGTCACAAGCTCTGGCACAGCTGTCCTTGAAAAAGAGCAGTTTGTCTCAGAGTTCTCTCAGCCCCACCCACCTCACAGGGTGTCTGTTGTGGGGAGGGGGAGGGGAAGGAGTTTGTAAGCCGCTCTGAGACACCTTTGGGTAGTGAAGGGCGGGGTATAAATCCAATCTCTTCTTCTCTTCTTCTTCTTCAAAGGGGACCCCCATGGTTTTTGGAAAAGATTCCGTTTGTTTGGAGAGGGGTAGGTAATGACAGATGAGAAAACCAAACTTTCAGTGCAGGGCCTCCTTTCTCGAGCTCAGAGCCATTTTCTTGCTATTTTCGAGCCTTAGCTGGGCCTGTCTATTGTCTAATGTGCACCCATGTTTGAATTATCCAGGCAGTTGTGCCTTTCCTAGAAGCACAGAGTCAGCCAGTCTCCCCGGAAAGAAGTGTATTTCATTGTCAGCAAGACATAGCCAGAAGACTGATTATCTAGCCTCAACGCCATTCATTTGTTACAGTAGAGTAAGGCCCTTTGGAGGCCGGTCCCAGAGGAACACGCATAAGAGTCTGTCCTGTTCCATCCTCCCAAAACACCCACAATACACAGTGAACAGGCAGGGCCGGCCCAAGGTTTTTCGACACCCTAGCCGAAACTAGTGCCCCCCAGGCAAGGCTGCCTTGTGCCGCCCCCCCACCTTGTGTCTCCCCCCCCCCCGCTGCCGCGTGCCCCTCCGGCGCTGAAGCCGGGTGCTAAGCTCGGCGCATAGGGTGGGGGGAGAGGGGGCTACAAGGCTCTTTGGAGGGCGGCCCTTCTGCTTTTTCTCCCCCCCCCGCCCACTTCCCCCCGTCTCTCCTTCCCCCCTGGGGGACCGGGACCCCCCCAGCTGTGTGCGCCCCGTTCCCTCACTCCCTGCGAGGGCGGCGCCAAGGAGACTCACCAAGGGCAGCGTGGAGGAGTCGTCCGTCCAAGCAAGCCCGTCTCGGAGGAGGAAGCGGTGGTGGGTCTGCTCCAGCCCCCTCTATGCACCACGCACGCCTACCTGAGCCGCCCTGCCGCTGGGCCTTTCAGGCAGCGCCGTCTGCCTCCTCCCCGCCCTGCAGGCCAAGTGCGCCTCAGGACAGGCCCCGAGCGCAGCAGGGGGAGGCGCTTCCTCCCTCCTCACTTCCTTCCCCGCCTGCTTCTGGGCGCACTGGGTGCTGGACTTGGGGTGAAAGAGGCGGCGGAGGCGGCGGTCCCCCAGTCAAAGACTAAATGCATGCAGGGCTTTTGGCGGGGGTGGGTGGGTGCAGTTTGGCACCCCTAAGGGCCGGCCCGCTCTAGGCGAATGCCTAGTTTGCCTAGTGAGCGAGCCGGCCCTGTGAACAGGCAGCAAGTATGCAGATATGGATATGTTCAGCATGACCAGGGCGATGTAATGTAAACGTGGGGAAATTAATTTTGCAGACCCTTAGAACAGTGGAGGGTTCTCATTGTTGTCAACCCTCTTCCCTGGGGACAGGGGGAGATGGTGCTGGGTAGTCTTGGAGAAACCCAGGCAGGTTTTCTGTGTGTTTGTGCTTTTCTTTGGCAGATGATTTCCTGCCTCAAGGGGCTGGAAGGGACTTAGCCTTTGGGAAGGAGTTGGTTGCTTCCCTGTTGGGGAGACGGGAGGTGGCTACAGTGCTTTCTCAATCGTGTTGTGGCTCAAACAACTGAGAGAACCTGACTCTGTCTTTACCGGGCTGACAGTTTCAGTGGGAATCTCTCCAACAACACACGATCCCGCTCTCTTGGGGTGAGGACTGGCTCCTGTAACCACAACAGAGGGTGCTGTGTGATTTGGCATAAACTACTTGCCCTTGGGTGGCAATGTTAACTGGTGGGACTACCCGCTGCAGGCCACCCCGGCAAGGTAGAACAGCTCCAAAGAAAGCACTCAAACCCATCTCCACCTAATAGGAAGGCCTGAAGACATCCAGCGGACCACTGTAGGAATCCTTAGTTGTGCCTTTGGACTCGTCCAGCAGGGCTGTTCTTAGGTAAACCCCCCCCCCTCTTTTCCTGGAATATCCAGTACTTAAGGGTAGTGCAGCCACTCAAGAGCCACTCAAGGAGCTTCCGAGCCCCCAGATCCCAGAAGGCCTCCCTCCCCCCTTACCCAGTGAGCTTGAGAATTCTACCAAACCAAGGGTTGTTTAGAAGTGAAGAGGAAAGGTCCCATGGCTGTTCCGTGCCCATTCCCTTGACATAACTGTGAAGGAGACTCACTTGCAGCCAGCTCATCTGGGAAGGAGATAGTCTCTTGAGATCTTCCTGAGAAACACTTTAGCCATTCTTCAAACACAAGGTCTTGGTCTGTCTCCGCCATAGTCTCTGTTACATTCCAGGCTTCTTTGGCACAGAGAGAGAGAGAGAGAGAGAGAGAGAGATCATATGAGAAGGGAAAATCGGAGGAGCCTAAAGAAGCCAAGGTGGCTCCATAAACAGCTTTCTAAAGACTTGAAAAATAAAAAAAGACTCATTCAAAAAGTGGAAGGAGGGCCTCATAACCAAGGGAAAATAGAAACAAATAACTAGTGCTTGTACAGAGAGAGTTAGGAAAGCTAAAGGTAGTGAGAGATGTTAAAAACAAAAGAGCAAGGACATGTTAGGCCCATTGCAGGGACAGGAAAGTGAAATTCCAACAGGCAATGAAGAGAGGGCAGAAATCCTCAATTCCTACTTTTCCTCAGTCTTCTGTTGCAGGGGAAATGGTGTTCAACATGGCAAAAGCAGAACACATGGTGAGGGAAGGGAGCTGCAGCCTAGGATCGGCATAGGGGTAGTACATAAACACCTAGTTTCTTTAAATGAGACTATGTCCTCGGGGCCAGATGAACTGCATCCAAGGGTACTGAAAGAACTCACAGATGTAATTTCTGAGCCTCTGTCCATTATTTTTGAGAATTCTTGGGAGAACGTGAGGTGCCAGAAGATTGGAGGCGGGCAAATGTTGTCCCTGTCGTCAATAAAGAAAAAAAGGAGGATCTGGGTAACTACCGACCCATCAGCTTGATGTCTATACCTGGGGAAATTTTAGAACAAAATCATCAAACTGACAGTACTTGAGCATTTAGAAAGGATGGCTGTAATTACGAAGAGCTAGCATGGATTTCTCAAGAACAAGTCATGCCAGACTAACTGAATCTCTCTTTTTCTGAGAAAGTTACTACCTTGCTGGATCAGGGGAATGCTATAGACATAGTTTATCTTGATTTCAGGAAGGCTTTTGATAAGGTTCCACATAATATTCTTGTTGACAAATTGGAAAAATATGGTTTGGATCCTATGACTGTTAGGTGGATCTGTAACTGGTTGACAGATCGCACCCAAAGAGTGCTTGTGAATGGTTCCTCGTCTTCTTGGAGAGGAGTGACAAGCGGAGTGCCTCAAGGATCTGTCCTGGGACCTGTTTCGTACATCTTTATCAGTTATTTGGATGAAGGGATAGAGGAAATGCTTATTAAATTTGCAGATGATACTAAATTGGGAGGGGTAGCAAATACAGTAGAAAGAGTCAGGATACAGGATGATGTTGACAGGCTGGAAAACTGGGCTAAAACAAATAAAATGAATTTCAACAGGGATATTTGTAAAGATCTGCATTTGGGTAGGAAAAATCACATGCATAATTATAGGATGGGGGAGACTTGTCTTGGAAGTAGTATGTGCGAAAAGGATCTAAGGGTCTTAGTAGACCATGCACTGAACATGACTCAGCAGTGTGATGCAGTTGCTAAAAAGGCAAATGTGATTTCGGGCTGTATCAACAGAACTGCAGTGTCCAGATTATGTGAAGTGATGGTACCACTTTATTCTGCTCTGGTTAGACTTCACCTAGAGTATTGTGTTGAGTTTTGCACCACAATTTAAGGAAGATATAGACGAGATGGAGCATGTCCAGAGGAGGGCAATAAAGATGGTGAGGGGTCTGGAGACCAAGTCCTATGAGGAAAGGTTGAAGGAGCTGGGTGTGTTTAGCCTGGAGAGGAGACGACTGAGAGGTGATATGATCACCATCTTCAAATACTTGAAGGGCAGGTGGTGTGGACTTTGAGTCCTGGGATGGTGACGGAGCAGCAGCAGCTTACTCAAGGCTCTACCTTTTAATTGATAATACAAAATATTCTCTTTGATCATACTGAAGTCCAGCGCCAGCAAGATAACTTAAGGACAATTATAGCACCCTGGAATACTTTGAAGATAGCCGGAGGAAAAACTAGCATTAATCCTAACTATAAATACACGTTGATGGGGTCTGAACTGGCAGAGACTGATCAAGAGAGAGATCTTGGAGTTGTAGTAGATAACTCACTGAAAATGTCGAGACAGTGTGTGACTGCAATAAAGAAGGCCAATGCTATGCTGGGGATTATTAGGAAGGGTATTGTAAACAGATCAGCCAATATCATAATGCCCCTATATAAATCAATGGTGCGTCCTCATTTGGAATACTGTGTGCAGTTCTGGTCACCACACCTTAAAAAGGATATTATAGCTTTGGAAAAAGTGCAGACCAGGGCAACTCGAATGATAAAAGGGTTGGAACACTTTCGCTATGAGGAAAGGTTAAAGCGCTTAGGGCTCTTTAGCTTGGAGAAACGACGACTGAGGGGTGACATGATTGAGGTTTATAAGATTATGCATGGGAAAGAGCAGGTTGAGAAAGAGGTACTTTTCTCCCTTTGTCACAATCCAAGAACTCATGGGCACTTCATGAAATTGCTGAGCGGTCGGGTTAGAACGGATAAAAGGAAGTACTTCTTCACCCAAAGAGTGATTAACACTTGGAATTCACTGCCACAGGAAGTGGTGGCGGCTACAAGCATGGACAGCTTCAAAAGGGAATGAGATAAGCACATGGAGCAGAGGTCCATCAGTGGCTATTAGCCACAAGGTATAGATGGGGACTCTGGGGCAAGTGATGCTCTGTCATCTTGGTGCTTGGGGGGGGTCAACAGTGGGAGGGCTTCTAATGTCCTGGCCCCACTGGTGGACCTCCTGATGGCACTGGTATTTCTGGCCACTGTGTGACACAGAGTGTTGGACTGGATGGGCCTTTGGCCTGATCCAACATTGGCATCTCTTATGTTCTTATCTCCCCTAAGATAAAAGCTGAAGATAGGGATGCACTAAAAGAGCAAAGTACTGAAATGCTACAACTAAGTACTCAAATGAGGACGATACAGCAGGGATTGAAAGAGAGGAAGCTGGCTTGCCACCCAGCAGCTAATCTAAAGACCATTGATTTAGATATGGCAGCTCCGGGAGAAAATGTGGGAGAAACACTCAAAGATGATCTGCTGAAGTCTGCAGGAGGCCAATGTATACTCACTGCAGACACCATGGTAGCTGTTTTCCAACAACATAACAAAATCTGAACTCAACTGGATGCCCTCAGAGATGTGTTAAATGAATTTGGAATGCAAGGTGCAGTCAGTCAGAGGATACCGAACAGAACCATTGCCTCCTCAGCAAAAAGGCAGAGGAGTGGAGGATTACATTCAACTGGGACGACAGACAGTTTAACCCTGCGACACAACCAGATAGTATTGCTAATTGCTCGGAACCCTGTAAATGAAGGTCGCTTGGTGAACAGAAATCACCCGTTCACTGAGCCCGCTGCTCCTGAGCAAACAATGAGACTCCCTGCCACTCCCCCCTATTGGCGAGTGTTATTAACAATCAAGCAATCTACTATTCCTCTTACGTTGTTGAGAATGAGGAGATTTCTTGCTCTCTTTCATATAAGCCCTGTCAGAGTCTTCGCAGAGGAATGGAAGAAACCATTACTGACAGAGGTGGTAAATATGGCACATGTTGTAGAGCCTTCCAAATCAGATCAAAAGAGACGTAAAGGGATCTTCTCCCAACGTACACCTATGGGACAATCCAGAAAAGCCCACTATTGAAGGGGGCAGAGCAATCCACGACTAATTCATCTAATCTGAAGGAACCATCGAACATATCTGTCTCAACTAATACACAGTTGAACAGTGAGACCAACATTTGCCCCCATGCCAACTAGTATGAAACAAGAATCGGCTAATCTCCTGAGTCTTTCAGAATCCAGCAGTGGGACACCTATGGAAACTTCAACTCCGGACGGTCCCTCACTCACCGCATCCCCCATCAAGTTTACAAACAGGCAGGTGGGCCCTCACCCTCCCACAGGAGTATCCCAGTTATTGGATTCCAGCTCTTCAAACTCAAACTCAACTATTTTACTTAAGACCTTGATTTCAATCAAACAGCAGACAGAGACATGTGATGCCAGGACACAAAACACCAATTTCTAAAGAGGCTAAGATTCCAATGACAGAAAAACTGCTGAAACTGAGCCCTGACCAAACCAAACCAAAGCTCCTGCCATGATAATCACACCGACATTTTTAAATAAATATTTACTTCTTTAATTATTCTGAGGGGGACCCCCGGTAGTGGTGGGGGGGGGGGGAAGCTCCACACAGAGGAGGAAGCTGCCGCAGGTGAGCCTTCTCGCCTTCTCCCCTGCCCCTGCCTGGCCCCGACGGCAAGGCCCGTCCGTGCAGCTCCGAGCCACTGGGCCCGGCAAACCTTCCCTGCTCCCCATGGCAACGGCGGCAAGGCCTGAACTCAGCCTGCCAAGCCTGGCCAGCCCACCGAACTTTCTCCCCCCCCCCAGCGGCAGCAGCAGTTCTCCTGCCCCCGTCCCCTCTCCCTCCCTGGTGGCAGCAGCGGCGAAGCCATTCTCTTTTACTTTGGGGGGGATTTAAATATCCCCCACATATTTTTTCCAAGTTTTCAGATTTTTCTGCACATATGGGGATTGCCCCAAATGTGCAGGAAAACCTCCCTGCCCCCCAAGTGCCCCCGATGTGCTGATTTAGATATCCGCATGGAGGGGGCATGTTGGGAATTAGATATATAGATTGCTGAAATTTGTATATCTCTAATCTGGTTTTGCATTATTTTTGTGTCTAAACTGCATTTTCGAACTTTTTAAAATTTCAAATTATTTCAGTGTATTGAGACCCAATCAGTCAATTGTTTTATAAATTATTTCTCTTCAAGATTCACACTGAAGAAATAATTTGAGATGGATCCAATTGCAGATGCCAGTTTGTTGGATAAAGTCCTGTTAGGTCCTGTGTTGATTTTTTTCTCTCTTCTCTTAGTTTATTTAGCTTTTTTTGTTATAGCTTTTATATTAAACAATACATATACATATATACACACACACACACACATATATATATATACATACATATGTATATGTACATACATACATATAACACACACACATACACACAAATATATATTTTTGAAAAAATACTTCGTCATATAGAGGAT